CCAAAATGGTCAGATTATATCAATTCAGATTAGTCTGACCCCCAGGCTTGGCACTGCAAAAAAAAAAAAATAGAAATGGGCTTTCACTGTGTCAGTCAATCCTTACAATAGGTGCAGACCTTTTTTTTAGTATTTTTTTGTCTTTTTTTTTTACAACACTGCTTGTAAATTTTGTAGAAATGTTGTGTGGTCCTGGCAACCATTACAGGAGTAGTAGGGGCTTTGGTGTGGTTCTGACATGAAGATCTTATCTGTCTTATCTGATGTCTCTGATGTAGGTTGAGGAGGAATCTGAAGCAACAGCAGAAGTCAACTGCGTTCTAAAATCCAGAAGTTACAGGATGCGAAGATTTAGCCATTACTGGATTTTTATTTTTTTCCCTTAAAGTTTACAAAGAAACTTACTGGTGTCTCTTTCGATTTGTTATCTGCGTCTTTGTAATCTCAAAACCCAACATCAAGTATGTTGAACTTAACTCCGCTTTCTGAGAGCATTCAGAAAAATGAGGGGACTGCCTATTTACATAGAAGCAATGCATTGTATTAAAAGCATGTCAAAACATCAACACGTGGTACACTAAACTGGTTGCCTAGTTCTTAAACTTCCTGAAAAAAGTTGTTTTTAACCAGTGTCCTAATTTCCATCATTTGGATTTTTCCGTGTTCTGGTGAATAATGTGGAATAGGTAGGAAAGAAGGCACAAAAAAGTCAGTGATGTCCATGCTCATTAATTTTTTGATTGGGAGTATTACACATTAATTTTACTTCAAATTCTGCTTTAAGTAACTAGGCCTTGAGTTTGCCTGCTTTGCACAATTGCAAGTAATTAAATGAATGCTTAGCTTTCAGATGCAGGAAAATTCCAAATGCACAGATAAGGAAAGGAAAGCCAAGATTGTAAATTGCCCCTGGAATAAAACCCTTCCTAATGGAGTTTCTCTGTATGAATGTCAGCTCAGCATCTTATGCTTGAGACCCTCTCTGAAATAATAATGGCATTTTTCATTAATAAGGAAATCAGGATCAGTCTTTTTGCATTCAGTATTTTGTGTATTTTGTTACTGTTTCTATTTTATTGCTCCTTGATATAATTAAATTTAACTCCTGCATGCATTCTCCCCTTGAACAGGAAGATATTTATCTTCATTATAAAATAAATAAATTTCCAAAACTAAGGTAGTAAATGAGTGGTATCATAGCCCTCAGGTGCCATTTGCTGCTGTTAAAGCTAGTGAGTGATTTGCCATCAGAATAAGACAATACAAAACAACAAATAAAGCTCTGATGTGTGTAACTGCCATTATTAGTCCATTACTGAAATTAGCATTTAACCAGGTACGTCTCAGCTGTCATCATCAAAGACATTCAGATTGAGGAAGACAGAAAAGTGTACTTTTGAAAAGTTGCTTCTTGTTTAGGCAATTCCCAGAGAAGAGTGCCAGTACTTCTGCTGAACACGTTGGAAGTGGCAGCTGCTGGATTACTGACTCGATGCTGTGCCTTAGGAAGTCACCCCCTGATCTTCACAGCATGGCATGACCTGAGGAAGCGTTTCCACCCTTACACTTCCCTCTGCCTTGCACATACCCATTTAAAAACGTTCAGTGGATTGCAGTGTGGCCAGCAGGGTGAGAGAGGTGATTCTGTCCCTCTACTCTGCCCTGGTGACACCTCACCTGAAGTGCTGTGTTCAGCTCTGGAGCCCCCAACACAAGAAGGATGTGGACCTGTTGGAGCGTGTCCACAGGAGGGCAACAAAAATGATTGGAGGGCTGCAGCACCTCTCTTGGGAAAACAGGCTGAGGGAGTTAGGGCTGTTCAGCCTGGAGAAGAAAAGACTCTGAGGGGACCTTGTAGTGACCTTCCAGTACCTGTAAGGAGCCTGTAAGAAGGCTGGGGAAGACCTGGTCACCAGGGCAGGTAACGACAGGACAAGGGGTAATGGTTTCAATCTAGCCAAGGTAGATTTAGGTTGGACATGAGGAAAAAGTTCTTTAATACAAAAGTGGTGGATCACCAGAACAGGTTGCTTAGAGAGGTGATGGGGGCCCCATCCCTGCAGACATTCAAGGTCAGGCTTGATGGGGCTCTGAGCAATCTGTTGTAGTGTGGGATGTCCCTGCTTATTGTAGGGGGTTTGGTCTAGATGACCTTCCCTTCCAACCCAAGACATTCTATGATTCTATGATTCTATGATTTGTTAGTGTTTCTCAATGGGGCTTATGTTGTGTAAGCCACCTATAGCATGACTTAATTATCATGCATTCTGAGTACTTCTGGCTTTAAGATTTTAATATTTAAGATGTTAACTATTCCCTGTCCTGGTAGGCTATGAGATTTCACACAGAGAATCCTGCAGGCAAGGAACTCAGGTCTAGCTGATGCAAAACTCTATCAAAGTCTTTCACTGGTAAAATAGTGAAGTGGATCTCTTTCTCTCTAGATCTCACCTCCTCTTGTATATTCTGTAACATCTTGGCTACATCCCAGCTGTGCACATGGGTGATCAATCCCATTCTTTGGCCAGCTCTAAATCCTTCCATTTTAAGTGTGCGATTCCCCTGGAGTGTAATCATTCCTCCTGTCACTTGATGTATAAACATTCACACTTCAGCTCCAGCAAAGCCAGCCCTTACCCTGCTCAGGTCCCACTCCACTCACACTGGCTGCAACGCTGTGCTTCTCACACGGCTGCTGTGAGCCTGTGAGCCACATCTCCCGGGGTTCTCATCCTTCACTCTGCTTTTCCTTTCTCTTTTCTTAGATTGAGAGTGGCTGCACTAACCAGAGACACTTCAAATGGGATACCTTTCCTGTGATCTAGAATGGAAAAGTTTTAACGTATTTCCTTAAGTATCTGTGGATGTGAAGTGGAATTATGGCAGGATCTCAGCATCTGACTCTTTAAAAAGACTTGAGTCTTTTAAAATAATGTAAGACTAAGACTTAATATTGTGCTCTAACATGTATGTACACACACTAGAATGAAGCCCTTCTGATATGTATTTTAGATATATTTTTAAAGTCATTATTCCTGAGAAAAGTGGATGTCTGCTTCTTGGTGGCAGCTGTGAGAATGGAATATTAAACTCATGTAAGCTTCCTTTTTGCAACTTGCTAGGGTTGTTAATGAAAATGTTCATGAAAAGACTTTGTAATTTAAAAAGGAATTTTGATTAAGACAACATTTTTGGAAGCTAAGCAACTTTGACCGGCAAATTTGGAAGGAGAGATGAAATGTAAAATGTTTGTCTATATTCTTTCTCAATGTTAAAATCATTCCCTCAGCATACTAGAGAGGCACTCATGTGTTCTAGTATTCCAGTATTAAGAAGCAGCTCTAATTATAGTAATTTAGAAAACAGAATAAAAATTATTTTGCTGCACTGTAACATAAAGTGTTTGACAGAACTGCAGAATATGCTGTAGTCCTACAATATGATAACACCATGGCACTTAAAGCAAAGGGAAAAAAGTATTTAACTGGAGATTTTAAAAATACTTGTTTGGGTTTGGAATGTACTCCCACTGTGACAGGTTGGGACTTTCTCATGGAGCAGAAGTTCTGAATTTCAGTCTATTGACTCTCCTGTGGCTGTGTGTCACCTTTTATTTGCTCTCAAGCTACAGCTGGAATCAGTGGGCCCTGACCAGATACAGCCCACGAGGGGCTTTGCACCATTAACTTGTTTACTTGGCCAAGCAATATTGCTACCAGTCCATCAGGAGTATGTGTATATCCACACTTCACCTGGCCAGCAGACAAACACACTGTTAAGTCCTTGTACAGAAATGGGAATGGGAGAGAACTAACAAATTGGAAGGAAATACCATTAATGTTCATGCTGAATTGTAGCTGTAAAACCAGAAAATAACTTGACAAGAAGGGAGCAAAGTGTACCTGGAAAAACATCACTCTGTCTCTGGTAGAACTTTTTCTTACCCAAATCACACTGGAAATCTGGCTTTTCTGTGACCTTGGCATTTCTCAGATTTTAAATATACTGTGGAAGGTAAGGCAGAAAAGTAATTTTCAGACGTGGGAAAGAAGAAGAAACAGCTGCAGCAGCTTGTTACAGCTTTAAACTTAAATACTGGGTTAATACAAGAAAATAATCACTGGATCTCTTTGTGGTTACAACAGAGGAGGAATCTTCTGGTGGGAGAAAGTATCTCTTATATCTGTTCGGTTTGGTTTGGCTTTTAAAAATGTATTTAAAGCACCTCTTCTGTGGTGTTAGCAGCCAGGGTGTTCTCTCCAAACCCCGCTCACAAATCTCACTATGCAATCTCTTTAACCACACTCAGCAAAAAAAGCTGGATTTGGAGCTGTCAAAAGACAATAATGGGGGCTTCACCACTTCTCTTCCAACTCCTTCCACTGGCTTTCCTGCAGTGAGGCTGAACAGAGTGTGTGTACAATGGAAACATCAAAAAGATAGATAACTTGCTGTCATTAATTACATTAGAGTGGAGAAGAAGAGCACAGCACTCATGATCTGCTAATTTAGAGTGACTGTGAAGTCTCAGGCAGTGTGGATACCTACCATTAAATCCTCTATCAATGACCCACATTAACATTGTTGAGGGACCCCTAGTCTAGTTAAAAGTCCTTTTTGAGTAGACATTTCTTGGGCAGGCACTGAGGACACCTCCCTGGGGTTTGGAAAAGCTGAGCCCCTGAGTTGTGTGCTGGACACAGCCAGTGCATGTCTGGCAATTACAGAATGAAGGTGAAGCCCCAGGGAAACGGGCCGGAAGGCAAGTGCTCACACTCCCCTGGGAGTCCAGGACCAGTTCTCCTGTATCAGTGTCAGTGAGGGTGTTTTCAGTGCAGGAACAGATTCAAGAACTGCTTGTTTGAGCCCCAGAAGCTGACTGAGCAGACTATGTGCCTGTCGAGTGTATTTCTAAGAGTTTTAGCTGCAGAACGGTTTTGGCAAGGCTCACTTAGGCTGGAGGCAGACTTGGAAACCTCGGGGCTGTTGTGCGGGCCGGGATGCAAGGCTGGTTCAGCCCGGCTGCTTGGAGGGGCCGCCAGGGAAGCCGCAGCCTCCGTTCTGCTGGGCACCCGGAGGCTGAAGGACAGTCCGTGGTGCAGGTGAAGGCCGGGATCACGGCCTTGTGTGTCGTGACAGAGCAGCTTTGGTCGGAGTAACCTCTGATGGAAGACGGGAAACCCCTGCGGCCCCCGGTGCGTGGCTGCCCCCGCACGGCCCCGCCGCCCCCGCCGCCCGCTCCTCACCAGCCGCCTCCCGTCCGCGTCCGCACCGTCCCTTCCCAGGACTTCCAATTACCGCTAGAAGATTAAGACCTTACTTTTTTTGCCTGCAGAACCGGTAACGCACGGCCCAGACTTTGTTTTTTTTCTACTGCTCCGGGGCTTGATTTATTGTGTCTCTGTTATCGCACAATCAGGCTTCGTTCGAAATGTTTTTCTGGGCTAATTCCGTACCCCCGGCATTTATTTTGACTGTCCCTTCTCATTAACGTTACTAATTTCTAATCGCTCCCCCTTCGCTTACAAGTCACCCCTCGGCCCTCCCTCCCAGTCGCCCCTCATCCCGCCCGCGGTTCCCACCCACGCGCGTGGGTCTGTCCCCAC